CATATTCTCTAATCAGCTTTGTCACATAGAGGAAGCAATGCTATTTATTTGTGCCATGATCTAACAAACAGTGATCAGCTGAACATTTTCCGTTGACAAGGACAATAGGTTTTCTCCATGTCCTACTATATGATTCGGTCTAAGCTAATCGTCGTCATGAAGGACTCCACAACAGCATTGCCCTGTAGTATTTGGATTGATGAAGATGAATTCGGACCTCCAGAGAAGCTAGTCAACGCTGGGAGGCGAAGTACAGGAGCATATAATCCAAAATAATCATTACAGACAGAACTGTAACCAAAACTTTCTCTTAAGAACTAAACTATCATATCATCAGTCAACCTAGGGACTAAAGCCCTGCATTTTGCAAGCCTTCTCTGACTTAACCGACTACACATTCAGTTTGATTTTTGCACAAGTATCTGGACACATATCGACTAAGACTTGTTCAATGTTTCTTCCATCAAACGTATATATTTGTGTCAGGACTAGAACCTAGAAACAACTACGACAGACATAATGTGCAAATTAAGTTTGCTGCTAAACTAATTTCCATTTCGCCAGATAACGTTGAATCTAGACTGGAATATAAGTTGTAAATTACGGTGAGTCTATTAAATTTTGGATGCTCAATTCATATATGGACTATGGAGAAGAAATAATTCCTGTACATGATAGGGGAAAAGATGAAATGCACAGCATTTACCTGAGCTTGTCATCTACAAAGTCCATCTTGGTTCCAATAATATGCATCTGAGCCTTCGGTTCAGCCAAAATCTTAACGCCCTAGTCTTCAACCAACTCATCGAACTTCCTTTTTTGCATCTGAAAACTAGTGAATAAATTTCCTCCGGTATATGAGTAATCAAAATATCACAAAAGAAAAGACAATGAGAGCATCAATCACTAGCTTGAAATTCACAAAATATGGTTTATCTACTTATTTCCGTGTTTCGAGGTCCAGGTATACATGGATAAGCAGGTCTCAATCTGCACTTATTTTCTCAATTAACGTTTATTCTGTTTCATGACGCTTCCTGAAAGATGGTTCACCTTTACATTTTTTCAGTAAAACGTAAACTAGCACCCTATACAGAAAATTAAGACGATGAAGAACTTCAGAGGACAATTCTCTGACAGTCCACTTGCCGTACGAGACGGTAAGTTTTCAAAGCCTGTCATATATGAACATCGGCATGTGGTATTGGCCAGAAATGACTTGCCTAATAGACGTGACTGCAAAAAGATAGAGAGTTCATATCACGAAAAATTTCAAATCGATATATTTATGATAAATTTATTTTAAATTAATTTTTTGATCACAAAAAATCTTAAATTGATACTTTTGTGATAATTTTATCATATGCTAATTTCCGTTAAATTTTACCGTCATATTTCTAAATTAAATGACACATAGCAATGGATGAGTGCACCAATTTGAGCTTTTATCCTCCGTTTGTCATATGTGTACCAATTTGTGATTTTTTGTGGTATTAATTTAATTTAATGAAGGGTAAATTTATCACAAATGTATCAATTTGGGGTTTTTTTATGATAAAAAAATTAGTTTGGGAGTAAAATTATCACATATGTACCAGTTTGGGGTTTTCGGTGGTCAAAAAATTAGTTTGAGGTAAATTTATCACTCGTAACATTAACTCAAAGATAAATTAGTTAAAGAATCTAGTCCCTGCTTTTGCATGCTATTGCAAAACAGGAGCAAAACAAAAATAGACAAATGCAAATGCCTTCAATCTAGAAAAAATCGTAGATTTGGACTCTTGTATCTTAACCACACAACCAACACGAAGCAAAAGTTACACCGAGACATTCTGATTCGTGAGCATAGTTCGTGATCACCTACAACGTAAAGGTTTCGTTTTCCACACTGAGCAACATTAATTAAGCCTTTCCAGCTTTTGACCCAGAAATTAAGACTGGTCACTGAACTTGCTAAAAAATTTCACAAATTAAAGCCAAACCCAAACTTAACCCCCAGCAAACCAAAAACAACACTAACTTTTTAAATTACTAACCAAAGAGTTGACCTTTTTGTATTTTCTTCAAACTGGACAGACCATTTCTCTCTCCTTTTCTCATATTCTAAACATAGCCAAAAACCTCTATCTCAAACTTAAAATCTCAAGGATTTACTTCTGGAACAGCATTATGAGAAATTCAGAAAAGTGAGTAGGACCCAGAGGAATTTATTTTACCACAAAAGACCCACAAAGTGATGCACTCAAGTCCAAGCAAGCGAGAAAACCGGGCAAAAATATCACGAAAGAGCAGTTACAAAGCCCAAAGTTGGAGGTCAAATCGAAAGGTAAAAACCATGCGGACAGTGATATCAGCGATTTGAGAACAATCAATTAAGTTTCGACCTCTTCAAATGAGGTCAAGTGATTCCTCTATGAAGTTGCAATCAAGCAGCATGCGTATTCCAATAAAATAGAAAGAAACAAGATGCAAATGCAGAACTTGGATTTAGTTCATCATCTCATGAAAGCTTAATGCACTTTGTTTATTTCTTTTCTATGATTTAGTAAACCGATGAGGAAATTTAGTACCCTAACGATGGTTTTCTCATGAGATCTCTATCATCATGAGACAAAGTATTACAGAAAAATGTAGACAACCAACAATAATAGTCATAATAACTCGACGGATATGTCATTTCAAGCGAACGTTTGATAGACTTCACCCGCAAACTATGAAATTACTTCTACTCTAGATTAATGGGTTAATGGGTAGATACCTCATCAGTGTCATCAATTGATTTCTATTAAAATTAATTACATGATGCATATACACATTAGAAGCATGCTTTGGAGAATGCATAGTTGTTGGATCAATATGCAATCGTCATCATTTTTACCATGTAATTTAGCAAATTGAAACTTCATGCCATTTAACATATCCAATTTCACGCTACCTGACCTACTGACTCAACGTATAGTTGCACCTCAACCCACACCATATTCCCAACAGGTAAACACAATATCTTATGGTGATTTCGAACTAACCCAGATCTCGAAACAAGAGCATCTAATGACCGTGTCTACCATTATTCAATCGCAGACCCTATAGTTGCATTCTTTTTTATTCATCCTATTGTCATAACCCATTCCTAAAATTTGTTTTGCCCGTCTCTTGATGCCACAAGTACACACAACGATAGGGTTCAACAAACCTAGAATTGGTTCGGACATTGGAATGATCACGTGATTGACACGTGCTCCATTCCTCCACTTCTTTTCACTTTTTTTTCTTTTTTCGTGAAAACTTGTTTTTGTTTTATGTTGAAGAGCGATGAATTCTTTTTTTTTTAGGTGAGTTCTAAATTAGGCGACTAATTCACATGCAATCAATATTCCAAAAGATCATTTTTTTTATTAAATATGTTTAATATACAAAAAAAAGGAAACTTTTGTTATGAGTTCAATATTTCAATGAGATGTGAAAAGCATTCCATAAAATTGGTAATTTAATATATCTCCACTTACATGATCCAATGAGAGAAAAGATGTGTTTTGCAATGGCCTTGTAGAGGCAGATTTGATGACAAGACAAGTAAATCACTCTTTGGCCAGGCAAGAATCTACGTCGGCCCCGTTTGGTTCAGCATTTGGGGAACGGAAAGCCGAAAATTAGCATTTGGGATGCTGAAAGCCCAAAGCTGGTCCGAACCAGCTTTGGGCTTTCAGCATTCCACAAATACTGAAGCCTATTTTTCCCTTCCCAAATTGCCCTTACTCAAATTTCTTTATTCCGGTTTTGCCCATGTTACTGTTCATCTTTTTTACCGCGAGGGTGGCTGGTGAGGGTGGCCAGCGAATGGCCGACGAGGGCGGATCTGGCCGGCGAAGGGCCGGCGAGGTCGCCCGACCCAGGCGACGACCGCGTGGGGTCGGGGAGCGGCAGCCCAGCGCCGTCGTCACTGGGTCGCGCGACCCAGGCGTCAGCCGTTTGAGGTCGCGTGACCCCGGGCGGCGGCCGCCTGGGTCGCGCGACCCCAGGCGGCCGTCGCCTGCATCGCGCGACCTCGCCGGCCACCCTAGCTGGCCAGATCTGCCCTCGCCGGTGAAGAAGATGAACAGTAATAGGGGCAAAATTGGAATATTAAAACTAAAAATTACCAAAGCTCTTTGCAAAAAAAAATTTACCAAACACTATTTAGGCCAAAGTAGCTTCACAAATTTTTTTTTACCAAACACCACTTATATTTCTCCAAGTGGCTTTCACCTAAAGGTATTTACATTCTCCCAAGTTGCATTTGAAAAGCCGAACCAAACGGGCCCGTCGATTATTGCACAAACCAAGTTTGGAGCAGTCATTAGAATAGGGATTGTGGCTGCTGGTGCATGAAATTAGCAGTATTCTGTTTCTTCTCTCTTTTCTTTTATCTTCTTTTGGTAACCCAATTAGCAGAGACTTGCTTGTTGACTTGCAAGAGGTAATATTTGGTCCGTGTCATAATAGCAGCAAGCACAATCGGTGCTTTTCACATACAATTGGAGCATCGATTGAGCAGAAATTCTCGCGCGATGTTTGATTGAACCGTTTCGATAAAATTCCCTCTCTGTCTCTAACGAACACCCTTTACTTCAGGAAAGTGGCGGGCTGGAAGAGATGGACTTCGTTCAGAATGTTTACTATATTATTGGGCTGCGGATGTTCCTAGGCAGGTACAATAGTGACTCATTTTTATATTCTAGTGCACACTGTTCATCCGTGGTACGTGACTCTTTCTTGGACAGAGTTCGATGAGAAAATATTCAGTGCTACCTTAGCACCACGTAACCGTAATATGTGGCGTGCATGTTCCATTTAAAGTCCGACACGTGTCGTTTTAGCTGGAAAATAAAAATTTAAAAAGGCTTTCTTTTCTCTCCCTTCGCGAGCAAGAAAAGGACCGAGCAACAATAAATACCAAAAATTAAAATCCCGCTACAACTCTCTCTCTCCTCTTTTAAATTTTGCGGCTTTACCTGCTCCTCCTGAACGATAACAACGTAGAGTCTCTCCATCTCTATTTCTCCAGCACTTCGATCCCGAGTCCCCTCCCCCTCCGCCTCCGCCTCCGCCTCCGCCGTCGCCTCCAGAGCCCGGCTCTCTCTCTCTCTTCTCCCTCTAGCACTCCCCCACCGCCTCCGCCTCCGACGCCGACGCCGACGCCTTCTGCACTCTGAAAAGTCGCGCACCCTCCGACGCGACGCCTCCGACGCCGACGACGAAGGCCCACGGCCCTAGCCCTAGCTGACGCCGACGTCGACGACGAAGCCCGACGCCCTAGCCGCCGCCCTAGGCCTAGCCGACGCCGACGCCGACGTCGACGACGAAGCCCGACGCCCTAGCCGCCGCCCTAGGCCTAGCCGACGCCGACGCCGACGCCTCCGCCTCCGCCTCGACTCGCTTTGCACCTCTCGACGCCGACCCAAATATACTGTGCTGCGGTCAGATACTCGCCTTGTACACTATATGTCACATCTTCCTTTTGTTTAGTTCATCGATTTATGGTTTGGATTTTGAAGTTTGGGTTTTAGCTTTTTTGAAACTTTTCTTTTTTTTTTCACTTGATCGTCATTTCTTGTTTACCCCTCCTGGTGATGAGAATTTTGCCGTGATGTTATTAAGGTTTGGATGATATTCTTGCAATCAGTTTATGTTAATCTTATCTCGTTATTTGTTCGTGTTCCATATATTCCCGACTGCCTCCTGCTTCTGCTGATTTGATCAGTAACGACTTCATGCCTCGCTCTCTCGTAACAAGTGTTTGTTTTTTATTCTTTTGTTAGATCACGTCTCTGTCTTGCTAGTGAGGTCGTATCTGCGGAATTTATGTGACGTTCGAAGGCCCAATGCTGTTAAAATTCACGAGTCACCGGCGAATGTGAGGGTTTTGGTAACTAGAGGCTCTGTTGGCTCGCTGAGAAAATGCAAGGATAGGGAAGAAGCATCATGCGGTGGCCTACCTTGAATGAACTCAATAAGTTCAGCCGTGTTTTCGCATTCGTCGTGTCGCCGGCTTCATAATCATTCGATAGAGGATGGGTTGTGTATCAATTTTTTCTACCCATATCAGGGAGAACACAAAAGGCCCTTACTACTGCCTGATGAATTGCCTTTGCAAATTGAATCAATACAGAGTTACCACTACTTCTGCTCTTGCTAGCTAGGGGATATATTATTTCATTTCTATCAATTCCTTTTGAATTAGGGGGAATCTGTAACGTTTTTTCTGCTTGTTTTTGTCCTATTCTGGGCATCCATGTTGACGGTACTACTTAGATATAAGTTGAACAACCAGCGGCCTTTCAGAAAATAGATGCCACATGAATTTTGTGCTAGTTCATTCCCCATTCAATAGTTCATTTTCGGAGAAGCTCGACAAAAAGTCATTTTTTCTCAATAGGTTCATTGATCCGGTGGTGAATGGAGATTATCCAAGCATAATGAGAAGCTTGGTGAAGGACAGATTACCCACTTTCACTGCAGAGGAGAAGAAGCTGATGAAGGGGTCTTTCGACTTCATCGGTATCAATTACTATTCATCGACCTATGCTCAAAACGTCCCAGAAGATGAACGCAAAGTGCCAACTAGCTACTCTACCGAATTGTCCGTGAAGGAATCTAGTAAGATGAGCCATATCTTTACCATGCCAAGATCATGAAAGATGTATTTGGACGAGTAGATATGATAATATCCATCATTTTTAACCCACTTCTCTGATTTTCAGCAACCAAGAACAGCATACCAATTGGTGCAAAGGTACATATGCTTTTACAACCTCATTGCAGCACATGACAGTTGAACCTTATTACCAGAATAAACAAAACTTCATTTTCAGTCTGAAGGGATTGAGTGGATATATAGGTATCCAGATGGTCTGGTGCAAATTTTGGACTATATAAAGCGGAAGTACCAAAACCCAAAGATTTACATTACTGAGTACGGTAGGAGTCGCTTTTCTAGTGATATATCATCCAGATTATATAATTGGACCTCCCATATAGAAGTAACACATTTTACTCGGGAAACATGTTTTATTACAGGTGTCACTGAAGCAAAGGTAGAGGGCCGTCCACTGGCCAATGCACTGAATGATCCTCACAGGATTGATTGCTTGAAGCAGCATCTCGCACTTCTCCTTATAGCGATGAAATAAGTCCTCAACTCCATCACATTTGCGATCGTCACTACTTCGGTTATCTGCCACTGCAATGCAGCATCTTCTTAACCATGTGTTGGATTTGCTACACGTGTCAAAAGAGGGTGTGAGGAATATTTCTTTGCATTCACACCAAGGTATCTGCTATTCGTGATTGCATATGTGTGGCAAGTCGTGGCTTGATCCACTTTTACTACGGTGACTAGTTTAAACTCTTAATTTAGCTCTGCTAGAAGCCGACACCTAGTAACAACTTATCAAATTGATCAATTTGGGCAATGCAGGAACGGGGTGAATGTGCGAGGATACATTCACTGGTCACTAGCTGACAACTGGGAATGGGCGTCGGGCTTCGTACTACACTGACTATAAGGACAACCTCAAATGCATTCCTAAAGCATCTGCCAAGTGGTACAAGGCTTTTCTCCAAGATAACCGATGACCAACCATAACTGGCTGCTCTCAACTGTTGTCGCCTTTGTCTGAATATTCTGTTTTATCTTCTTATCATATAGTGAGCTGTACTATTGTTTATCAGAGTGATATCCTCTTTGGAAGTACACGTTACCATGAGGATTGTAATTTGTCGGACTAGTGCTATAATAATTTGAAGAGTTTCAATAATTCACCATTGCCACTGTAAGTGATTGCCCTCATTTAGTCTGGATGTATCATGTGGCATTGGGACTGCACAGATGAGATGATCTTTAAAGGGAATCGGCAGCAATTATGGGCAACTCAATCCCAATTAATGAAAAAAAAAAACCGAATTAATGATCATTTATTCCAAGGGATGACCCCAAAAATCTCAGAATGAATAAGAACACTACACATTCATCAGTTTGGCGAGTATATATTCAGATAACAAGCTAGACCGCCATTACCTAATATATTCATCTCAAAGTCAAACAGTGGTATTTCACAAAAAAGGCTCTCACGATTCAAGAAGCTCTCAATTGATTCACTAGACAAACTCGTGATTCTCTCTCCATCCATAACCTATCCCAGCCCCAACAACTGAATATTAATTAACTCGAAACGGAAAATCAGAAGAGTTCGCAAAGTATGGAGTCTATATTTCAAGGGAAGGAAGGCATAATCAAGCAAATCAAGACCTACTTTATTGTCATCGGTGCTTATCCAATCTGCCATTTACAGAAACGACCAAAGACGAGTAATTCTGTACTGAACTTTATTTCGGGATCATTAGAAAAATCCCTCAACAATTTGACGACAGCCGCCACATTCAATTATACAACAATGGAACCAGCAACTCAAAGGTTCATCCTGTAAAATTCAGCATAATTGTTGGAATTCTCAGGTGGGAGCACCATCTTCAAGAAGACAAAACCTTCTCAACCTCGACCGTCACATCCTTAGGAGGTTTTTCAGCATGAAGATTTGCAACTATTCCCTTTTTGGAGTAAGTAGTCAATCACCTGTATCCAAAGTGCACCAATTAGACAGCTAACTAAACTAAAAGAGAAACATGATTGGCTTAAACAAGCAAGGAGGAAATAAGTAATGAATGCCAGCTTGTGAAATGGATTGTCTCATAATTCATCCAACGTCTAACACATGAAATTGAAGAAGGCACTAGAAGGAAAACGTGTACGTACCGGTTCAATTTGCTTATGGATTTTGGCACCTGCTTTTCTAGCATCCTATCAAGCTGTCAAAGAAAAAACAGAGCAGCCCGTGAGAAAAATGAGACAATACAGGGAGTTGACGTATAAAAGACGACATATTTGATAAACCAAAGTACTAATACATAACCGTCTGCGCTTGCATGACGGTTCTTGGAAATCCATCAAGAATGAAACCTTTTTGGCATTAAGGTTTTTTCATTGCTTCATCTATAATGCCAACAACCAAGTCATCAGAAACGAGTTCTCCCTGGAAAGCAGTTTTGCACACCAAACTACATAACGTAAGACATCATAGAAACAAAAAGAGGACTCCAAGTGGAGAGGCCAAAATTAATGTAAAAGAAGTCATACCTTGTCCATAGCTTCTTTGGCTTTGAGACCAAGAGCGGTCTTTGCAGCAACAGCAGCTCTTAACATATCACCAGTAGCCAAGTGGCACAAGCAGTATTCATCCTTGATGATCGGTGATTGGGTACCTTTTCCAGATCCAGGAGGGCCTGCATTTTCTCAAGAAACAATATGCCAAAGCCTATCCATATTAATACCTAGACAATAGCTTGCATACTGACAGCCACTCAGATGAGCTTCAGCACCAATGAAACAAGAGGCTTTCAACATCTAAGAAGAACAACATTTGAGATTAATAAACAAAGGCCCCACACTTATAACTTGCGCTTCAGTACATCTATTTCTTTTTCTTCTTTGTTAGTGCCTACTGGCTATCTCAATAGCGAATCTCAGAAGCTGTCATAGAGATCAATAAAGGCATGACATTGTCTTTGAAAATGGAAGAGTGTATACAGAGAAGTAAACAAATATACACAATATATGAAGTTTCATGCATGCAGGCATGTGCAGAAATTTATGTGGCTTAAATCTCAAAAGCTCTAGGTATACATTCAATCAACATGACAAGAAGAGAGAAAGCTTAACAAATATGAGGAATCAGCGAGCACCAATCAACATTATCATATTATGACTAAATCTGAAGGCCTGACTCTTTAGTAGAAACAGAAATACTCACAACGCCTGATATGATCTTTCTAAATGTGAAGTGCGATTTTTGTAGAGAAACTATAAGATTAAAAGGTCCCTTTTAGATTGGTAAAAATTAAAAGAAAAAAACAAGGTATATGAAGCGTGAGTTCAATCAAGATACATTTAAGCTAGCAGACAATAACAAACCTTCTTTTCTCCCTCAGAAAGCCTTACAAGAATGCTATATTCAGGTACGCTTGACATTGATTCCAAGTATGTTAAAGCTTTAACACGATATTGGCTAGAGTTTTGTAGGAACATCTTGCATGAAAGAACGGAACTGACATGGCCAAGAAAGTGTTCGAGCACATCAATTTTTCAATGAGCTCTGTTTTATTTCGGTAGAGAGGCAAGAACCCTTGAACAATCATTCCCATGAATTGACCGTAATTGGGGACAAGTTCTCTGTGTAGAATATGTCTGCCGAAGCCCAATCTGATAGAATCACACTCATGAGTACTACAAATACAGAAGTGACTTCAGCCCATAAGACAATGAAGCACATAACTCTTTTCTTCCTTTCCGTTTACCAAGTTTGACTTCAAAAAAACATGAGATTGCACTCAAACAAGACCCTAACAGCGAATGATTATGAAGCCGGCGACACGACGAATGCGAAAACACGGCTGAACTTATTGAGTTCATTCAAGGTAGGCCACCGCATAATGCTTCTTCCCTATCGTTGCATTTTCTCAGCGAGCCAACAGAGCCTCTAGTTACCAAAACCCTCACATTCGCCGGTGACTCGTGAATTTTAACAGCATTGGGCCTTCAAACGTCACATAAATTCCGCAGATACGACCTCACTCGCAAGACAGAGACGTGATCTAACAAAAGAATAAAAAACAAACACTTGTTACGAGAGAGCGAGGCATGAAGTCGTTACTGATTAAATCAGAAGAAGCAGGAGGCAGTCGGGAATATATGGAACACGAACAAATAACGAGATAAGATTAACATAAACTGATTGCAAGAATATCATCCAAACCTTAATAACATCACGGCAAAATTCTCATCACCAGGAGGGGTAAACAAGAAATGACGATCAAGTGAAAAAAAAAAAAAAAGTTTCAAAAAAGCTAAAACCCAAACTTCAAAATCCAAACCACAAATCGATGAACTAAACAAAAGGAAGATGTGACATATAAATGTACAAGGCGAGTATCTGACCGCAGCACAGTATATTTGGGTCGGCGTCGAGAGGTGCAAAGCGAGTCGAGGCGGAGGCGGAGGCGGAGGGGGAGGGCGTCGGCGTCGGCTAGGCCTAGGGCGGCGGCTAGGGCGTCGGGCTTCGTCGTCGACGTCGGCGTCAGCTAGGGCTAGGGCCATGGGCCTTCGTCGTCGGCGTCGGAGGTCGCGTCGGAGGGAGCGCGACTTTTCAGAGTGCATTTTGATTTTCGTTCAAAGAGGGTATCGTGTTGCTTTGATTGTTTCTTGCTTTAATTGATATAGGCTTCGGATCATACACAGATGTTAGATTTTGGTTGTCGTGGGGTTACAGGTTCGGTATTGTTGCAGCTTCATGTTCCCTGCTCGGACGTCACATTGAGCATGATTCGAAACTGCATGATCCCTATTTGGTAATCTGATTTAGGTGAAAAACACTTGCTTATTGATCACCTCGGTATATGATACGACGCCCAGGGCTCTTCAAGTACCCGTGCACCGTGAGTCGAGCTTTAAGTGGCAACAATTTTATTCTTGTGACAAATGCTTTGTCTTTCTGGACAATTTTCACTCCAATGGTTTCGGTTGATTCCCAAGTTGAAAGCTGCTCATTTTGTCAAGCACCCAACAAATGGAGAGCTAGATTTGAGAAAATGGTACTGTCATACTCGACAGGAAGCGTCTTTAGAAAGTAACAAAACCAAATTCTATTTGAACTGGTAACGACATGCCACAAAACAGCATATATTGTCGTATTGACCGAGACAATTAAGCATCGTGTTCATGAATGACTTTCATGAAGTTAATTTCATCAATCTATAACCAAGAAATAGGGAGCTGAGGTCATCTCATGGAGCTTGGATTTTCCGGCAGTATGACAGAATCATCACGAATTCTTTGGCCAAGGTCCCGGCAGACGCGGTCACCCTCTTCAACGATGCCGCGGTCCGGAACCGTCTTCAGCTTCGCGGGGGCAACCTTCTTCACAGGGCGTCACCTTCGCAGAAGTCTGCACCGCCTTCGCCGCGGGCTTCAACTTCGGCTTCTCGGCCGCCTTTCTCTTCACACCCACCACAGCTGCTTTGGGCTTCCCGGCGGCAGCAGCAAGCCTTGGCTTGGGAGCTGCCGCCTTCGACCAAAAAGGAAAAAAAAAATTGCCCTCTCCCAACCTCGTCCCTAAGCTCGTTGTTGCTCACGAAAAACTGCGATAACCCGAAGCTCTTGTCGAGGGGCGGGTGACCGCCCCTCGGCCTCTGCCTCACTCCCTTAAGAGCGCGCGAGGGGCGGCGTTAATGTGCTTCGTCGGCGACGGCGGGGAACGGCCGCTTGACGAACGCCGGAGTAGAAACGAGCGGAGAAGCAAAATCTGATAGCCAAAAGAGAGATTCAAAATTTGAAAGCGCGTTTGCTGGAGAGGAAATATATTTGCTTTTCTTGTTCGTCTTCTGATGAGGAAAGGAAAGGACGGAGAGGAGAGGAGAGAGAATTGGAGAGCAGAGGGGGAGAGGGCGCGTAGGGCTAGCGTGCAGGGCTAGGAAAGAGGATGGAAATTATTTTTTGCGGAGAAAATCGTGGGCTGGCGAGTCGGCCCCACAAGCGCCACGTGGACCACGTGGCGCTTCCTGAGTGGTCCGGGACCACGCCTCCGTGGAGGTCCCGGACCACCCAATATTTTCTCGTTGGACACGGCACAATGCGTTTCCCGTTTTTGCGCATTTTCTGGGAATCCGTTTCAGACCCCAACCGCACAAGGCTCGAAGAGAGATCACTATTAACCAAGAACGATGCCTCCATCACTGGCTCTGCCTCGTGGCCGTGATCTGGCTCGAGACCATCGCTGGGACGAACACCAACTTCCCGGCATACTCCTCGCAGCTCAAGCAAGTCCTCTCCATCTCCCAGGTCCAGCTCAACAACCTCGCCTTCGCCTCCGACACGGGCAAGCTCTTGGGGTGGTTCTCGGGGATCGCTGCGGTGTACCTCCCGCTCTGGCTCGTCCTCCTGGTGGGCGCGTTGCTTGGGCTTGTCGGGAATGGCATCCAGTACCTCTTCGTGGCTGGCAAGGTCACCTCGGTCTCGTACCCCGGGATGTTTCTCCTCGCCGTCCTCGCCGGGAACAGCATCTGCTGGATCAACACGGTGTGCTACGTGGTCGCGATCGACAACTTCCCGCTCCACTGCCAGCTCGCCGTCGGGCTCACCACCAGCTACCAAGGGCTGAGCGCTAGTGTCTACACGGATATAGTTGACGCCGCACTCAACAAGCGCGGCGGGACTGGGGCTAGAGCTAAAGCATATCTGCTTCTCAATTCAGTCCTGCCAATGGCCGTGTCGCTAGTCACCGCGCCTTTTGTTCGGGTTGTCAATGCAGACGGTCCAGGGGCGGGCAAAAATGCGCACAGCAGGTTCATAATCCTATTCATCATAACGATCGCGACCGGAATTTACGCGGTGGTGAGCAGTATGGGGTCAGTGTCGGGAGCGTTACCGGCGGTGTACAATGCGATGGGGATGGGCATCTTCCTCCTGATCCCCATCATTATACCGCTCGCGGAATGCGTCAAGCACGTCCTAGCCCGCACCGAGAAGAGCGTACACGACGTGGTGACCGAGCAAGAGAACAGCGACCACGGCGGAGACGAGAGTGGCCTCAAGTCAGAGGCCCATCCCCAGGTTGGCGACCAAGAAGAGGCGGTTGTTGTGGTTCCCCCAAGTGAAGAAGTGGCAATTAATGGTGTCAGAGAGGAGGTTGGAGCCAGAGTGATGGTGAAGCGAGTCGAGTTCTGGCTCTACTTTTTCGTGTACCTGTTCGGGGCGACGCTCGGGCTCGTGTTCCTCAACAACCTGGGGCAGATTGCCGAGTCCCGGGGCAGCTCAAAGACGTCGTCGCTGGTCTCTCTCTCGTCATCGTTCGGGTTCTTCGGGCGGCTGATACCGTCTCTCTTCGACTACCTCTTCAAAAGGTAATCAGGACCGCCATCTCCCCTTTGTTAGTGTTTCAATTAGCGTTGTTAGATTGTCAACTGAGCGTGGGTGGAGTTCATCATCTAGTCCAGAGTTTGAAGTGGACGGACAACCATGGCATTTGCACGTAAATGTCTTGCTTGATCGGGTGTGGACTTTAAGTCTAGACTTCATGGCATTCAGCATTAATTGTCCTTATTTCCTAGCTAGTGAAAACACATGCAAACCAGGCCGCTCTGAAGGCAGGAGGGACTGAAGCCTGATAAGAGAAGAGATTTCTACAAGAGATGTTAGGCACGTTCTCCATAAGAGATTTCTATGCATACGAAGATAAGATATTGTTCAGTGCATGTCGATAATAAGAACCTGTTTTCACGTATGTGCTTGTATCGGATGACATAATATTACATTACTCGAAGAAATTCGCCGTATGAATTATCGCTTTTCTTGCATTTTTGTCCGTCCATTTTTTGGTGAAAAGTTGGCTCTTTTGTTCCAATGTTGGAGCGAGGATCAATGTCTGTTACATTTGAACGGACACAAAAGCTTTTGGGACAACGTTCTTTAACGTCCTGAGACTTTAAGTCATGGTCCAAAAGCTAAATCATAAAGTGAACATTTTTCTTTTTCTTATTGTTTCAGCAGAAAGTACGTGGTGTCGAGACCGGCATCAATGGCGGTACTGATGGCACCGATGGTCGGTGCCTACTTCCTGCTCCTCAGCCCTGCCACGGCAGCGCTCTACGTGAGCACCGCCATCATCGGCGTCTGCACTGGGGCCATCACGTCCATCTCCGTGGCGACCACCCCCGAGCTCTTCGGGACCAAGAACTTCGGCGTGAACCACAACATCCTTGTCACCAACATCCCGATCGGGTCCTTCATCTTCGGATACGCCGCGGCGCTGCTCTACCACCCCCGAGCTCTCCACGCTAAAGTATCTCCGAAGAACCCGAACGATGACGAGAGAGAGACCAGCGACGACGTCTTTGAGCTGCCCCGGGACTCGGCAATCTGCCCCAGGTTGTTGAGGAACACGAGCCCGAGCGTCGCCCCGAACAGGTACACGAAAAAGTAGAGCCAGAACTCGACTCGCTTCACCATCACTCTGGCTCCAACCTCCTCTCTGACACCATTAATTGCCACTTCTTCACTTGGGGGAACCACAACAACCCCCAACAACCGCCTCTTCTTGGTCGCCAACCTGGGGATGGGCCTCTGACTTGAGGCCACTCTCGTCTCCGCCGTGGTCGCTGTTCTCTTGCTCGGTCACCACGTCGTGTACGCTCTTCTCGGTGCGGGCTAGGACGTGCTTGACGCATTCCGCGAGCGGTATAATGATGGGGATCAGGAGGAAGATGCCCATCCCCATCGCATTGTACACCGCCGGTAACGCTCCCGACACTGACCCCATACTGCTCACCACCGCGTAAATTCCGGTCGCGATCGTTATGATGAATAGGATTATGAACCTGCTGTGCGCATTTTTGCCCGCCCCTGGACCGTCTGCATTGACAACCCGAACAAAAGGCGCGGTGACTAGCGACACGGCCATTGGCAGGACTGAATTGAGAAGCAGATATGCTTTAGCTCTAGCCCAGTCCCGCCGCGCTTGTTGAGTGCGGCGTCAACTATATCCGTGTAGACACTAGCGCTCAGCCCTTGGTAGCTGGTGGTGAGCCCGACGGCGAGCTGGCGGTGGAGCGGGAAGTTGTCGATCGCGACCACGTAGCACACCATGTTGATCCAGCAGATGCTGTTCCCGGCGAGGACGGCAAGGAGAAACATCCCGGGGTACGAGACCAAGGTGACCTTGCCAGCCACGAAGAGGTACTGGATGCCGTTCCCGACAAGCCCAAGCAACGCGCCCACCAGGAGGACGAGCCAGAGCGGGAGGTACACCGCAGCGATCCCCGAGAACCACCCCGAGAGCTTGTTGAGCTGGACCTGGGAGATGGAGAGGACTTGCTTGAGCTGCGAGGAGTATGCCGGGAAGTTGGTGTTCGTCCCAGCGATGGTCTGGAGCCAGATCACGGCCACGAGGCAGAGCCACTGGGCCAGTGATGGAGGCATCGTTCTTGGTTGATATTTGCTCCAACTATTGCGCGCAGGTCCTCCTTTTATAACATTGGGCAGCGACGAGAACAGAAACAGACTGAAAAAACTAAAGGACAGAGGAAAGATCGACGACGGCGAGGATTACGTACAAGGTTTATAAGGTGGGAGATGGAGGTTGGGGAGGAACAAGCAGAGAGGGATGTAGCGAGAGACCGACGATGTGTCTTATGGACATGTGGCTCTGCCGAAGACAATGTGATCACGCGAAGGCCATCACCTTTGAGCCCCATTAATGGTTCCCTGAGGTGGGTGTGTACCAAGTCCAACAAGGGCTTATATAGTGATCTCTCTTCGAGCCTTGTGCGGTTGGGGTCTGAAACGGATTCCCAGAAAATGCGGAAAAACGGGAAACGCATTGTGCCGTGTCCAACAGGGGCTTATATAGTGATCTCTCTTCGGTCCCTGTGCGGTTGGAGAAAATATTGCGTGAGACAATAAAATATTGCGTGAGTGAGATATTCCACAACAGCTAAATACTGCGTGATGATAAGATTTCTCTATTAGAAAATATTGTTAGAGATATTATTAGATATTATGGATATGATTTGATATTTCGTTATGCTGTAAGATAAATAATTTTATTTCCTAGGCATATTGTTCATGTATAGATATCATCCTCTAATAACGTGTAAAGCTAAGCCAATTAAATAAAGATATAACCTTCAGATTCTCCGTCCCTCTCTTTTGAAGATCCTAGAATATTTGCAGTGGGAAGTGCAGTGCTTCCTTATATTGCCTATTGGTGAAGGGTCTTCGAAATTGCTTCTAATCAAACTTGAAATTCTTTGCAATAGAAAAAGAAAATAAATTGCCAAGTGGTAACATTGAACTCGTCATCGCATCCATATAGAAAGAGTCAAGCAAATGCCTACGTTGATGGTCATTCGACATTGATAAATTTCATACTTTTATTATGCTAAAAGCCAGCATATGACGGTGAGATACTATTTTTACATGTAATTACTAACTTCCAATGATGGGGCTTTCTTGCTTAATATCGAATCTGGTTAATTACTGTACTAAAAGCGGCCTACATTGGTAAATTACTTATTTGATGCGGTTTGGTCATTATTGCTCTGAGCCTTGATAAAAGACGCTAATGTTTTTAGTCATGACCTATTCACATCAATATCCATGCAAAATACCTATGTTTATTCTTAAAATTGGTGATTGTAAATGCATGAACCGTGCTCTATTGATCTTGCTGAATCTTCTTCTGCAGAGGATTCATTTGCTTTAGTTCTTCATAAGACCCCAAAAAACAGAAATAATATAAAGAAATGAAAGGGGTTGTGGCCGAGACCTGTTTTTAATAGATACACCAAGCTTTTGCTTGGAACTTTCATAAATCTTTCAACAAATTTCTTCTAGTTAAGGTGATGAAGATGGAGAACGAGATGGGAATGTTGCTCATGGCAACTTCTTGATTTGAGGTGAACTTAGCAAGCTCTTAGTCTTACTTTACATGTCAGTTTTGGACTTCAAGATTAAGATGTTGTCTCTTGAATTTATGTGTTAGGTTGTGAAAATTTGAGGTGAGAGTTGAACTCATATGACATTTAAGAGCAATTAGAACACTGCCTTTGGTTGGTGGATATTCTCGAGAGACACAGAGGAGAAAGAGGGGGAAAAAAAGGGAGAACGCCATTCTTCACCGAAGGGGAAATGACTTCCTGCCTATTTCCAATTCTCGATTGAATTAGTCTTTGGGCAACTTCAAATATCAACGTCCGAGAAATATAAAACTATTGTCAATGGGGGATATCCAGATAATCAATGTCAGTGGTTGAAGACTAATCACTAAAGCTTCCTTATTTTGAGACATTACACATGATGAGATTTGGCTTATACGAAACAATGCTCAAAAAGCACGTCATCTTTGTCCAGGAGTGAGAATCGAAGTGGCAATCAAACCAAAGATATAACTTATATAAGCTCAGCATCTTTACACAATGTATAGTGTGAAGACAGCCTGAAAAGCACATCAGAAAACCCTCCAAGGTCGCCAACAACTCAGTCGCGCATGATAGGTCACATGATATCGACAAAGTAGAAGCGCTAATTTACAATGGAAGACACGAGCTTCACTAGGAATCGAAGATAAAAGAGACAAAGGGCTAATAACAAAATCATTTCTCTATCCCTTTCTGTAGATACTGTATTTGGTGATATCCTGCAGTAGTCTATTTGTTATACACGTCTGTGTAGATGCGGACCATGAAATTAGCTGCCTCACGCTCGCTCATTTCAGGATAAAATCTCCTTCGCAGATTGCCAATGGAGCCACCCCGGTTCAAACAAGGCAAGATAGCCCTTCACACACAATCTAAAAGAAAGAAGACAAATGTCAAGTTTTGATATGATGACTGATTAATAAACAAGGGAATTCATTAAGCTAACTATAAGCATAGTAAACACGGGGAGCCCTCGTCACTTGACCAAAGTAAAAATGGTAAGGGACAATAAAAGTTCCAATAATAATAGATTATGGTTGACATTTTGTGTTTTCTTGCATCAACTTTTAAGTATAACACATACTCGTCAACCCAAACAAAAGGGAGAAGCAAGAAATATAGAATCCCACTTTACTACCTAGGGCTAGAAATTAGGTGGAAGAATGAACCTTTGAGCGTTAGGGTTTCACACTAGTATGGTCCCTTTCAAGAGTAAAGATCTTGATATACGTATTAGCAGTTACATCGTCGTCGCATACCTAAGCTAAAGATCTAAAATCCATCCATGTCTGAGTATTAGGCCTCCTACCCAATCCCGAAAACACATAGACTGCGTATACGCTTTAGTGTGGTGTCGAATGACTTTACCGCTTATTGGTCTTTGTTTTCTCTATCATCAGTCTTTCTCTTTTACATAAACCATATCCATCTGAATCAAAATCAATCGTAACAGTGACCCCACTTCCCTGCCTCAAGCCTTGCTATGTGCATGTGTTTTGATGTTTCAATAGTCAGGAACCCATGTCCATAGTAGGGTTTCTGAAATAGAGTTAGGAATGGCAATTCCTAAAGCGATACAATAAAACACACGAATTAGCATGTCGAGTTAATTTTAGACGTGTTTATGTCAAAATAATGACAACCTACCTAACACAATCCTCAAACAAGTTATGTTCTAACTGGATTTGAATAACCAAAAATGGACCCATGTTGGCAGACCAAATAAGTCGCGTCCACTATAAATGAGCCGAAAAACTCGAGGCAGGTAACACATGACTCATCCTATATTAGCCAAGGTCGAGCTTGCTGATGCATGACTTGTGTAGGTTTGTACTCCGGTACTTAACCATTGCCCATTATCTTTTCACTTCAAGCTGTAACTCTCTTCTGCAGCTGTAGCAACTCAAAACGTGAGCTTCTATGTCACTTCTTTTTCAATCCCCCTGATGACATGATTTGCCCCCTCTATTCCTCCCCATTCTTTTTTGTCGGATCACGCAGCACTAGCAGGTCTGTTTGGGTTTTCTAATCAAGGATATGCTTTTGCAACACAAACTGACCTTTTTTCCTATGAGCAAATTAATATACTCAGGATATCATGTTCAGATCATTATTACCTGACTCCTGTAAATTAATAGTCATATATTACCTCTATTATTCTTTGCTTTTCCTCATTGGGCTGCACATCCTCAGAGGAGAATCTGTTTATGGAGGTTGAGGTCGAGGTTCTCGTGAGCTTGCAGTCCTAAAGGAATTTAATGCTTTAAGTGTAGTTTAGTTGTAGTTGTAGTTGCAGTTGTATACAGTCTGGTTGTAGTTCGGCTTTCCTATGTCATGA